TATACCCGTGAAGGCACCAATGGGAAACAAGAAACCAATAACAAAAAATAAACACAAACTAACTACTAAAAACAAGACAAAGAAAGAGAAACACGGAAATTAAGCAAAGAGCACAAAAATCAAGAGAAACACAGAAACAAAAGACAACTACAATAAATAAACTTGACCTCCTACTTGTCTTCCCCGGCGACGGCGCCATTTGTTGAGTTAATTTTTAGGGGAATAAGTTGATAACCGATTTATTCAAACATCGGGCCGTCTCTCAAGGAAGACTATTCGAAACATTGTTCACTTCGTTCATTTTCAAATGCACAAAAAGGGATAATAAAGTCTTAATCATTCTAAACAACTGATTTGAGGGGTTTTTAAAATAATTTAGACTAAAGAATTGAAAAGCGATTAACTAAAGATGCAAACTTTAATTAAAGACCTAAGCTTTACTAAAGACGGAGTGCTCAAAATCCAATAAAAACAAAAACAAATAGAAACGAACTACAATAGCACACTTAAAAGGTAAAGTCAAAAGATTAAATATAAAATCACCGAACTCTTAAACAAAGTTTCGATTTTTATTTTAAAGGTTCGAATATTAAACAACCCAATTACATAAGAAGAGCCAAATAAAAGACAAGCTAACAAAATAAACTAAAAACGACCATAGCACGCCAAAATCGAACGAGACACTAAATTACCTCTAAATCCAAGTAAGTAAATTATCGCAAAAACCGAGATAGCAAGTCCTAGAACTAGGTGCTTACTTCCCTAATGCATGCTCGAACGAAATAAATGCAAAAAGGTCGGAATTTGCAATAGAAAAACATCGCCGAAAAAATCGCCAGAAAATAAGAGTTAAAGCCTCCACAAGACAAGTCTAGAGAGAAAATAAAAGAAAAGAGCAATATCCAAAAGAGGAAAACAAGCCAAATGAATTAGGTGCTCACAACCAAACGGACTAAATGTATTTATACTACTCCCCAAAACACACTTCTTTCACACACATTTAACGAGAAACTATGGTTCACTAGGTCACAAAATGGTTTTTCGCCGCGAGTGCTAAGGTGTTGGACTGCCTCGGGTCAGGACTCGCTCATTCGCGAAGCGCCGTTCGCTGCGAGTGGCGTGGGTCTCTTGTGGCTGTAACTCGCGCGGTCGCGAGTTGCTGTTCGCTGAGAGTGTCGCATCTGCTCGTGGATCTTGCGGGTTGTCTCGCACGCAACATGAGGGCGTTTTGGGTCCCGGGGGTCATTTCGCAGGCTCTCTTGTGCGATCGCGAAACGAGAGTCGCTACCAGTGTCCCGCATGCTGTTTTTGCAGTTGACTCGCGCAGTCGTGCACGGGTACTGACTGCGAGTACTTCGTGTGTTGTCTTGACTGTTGACTCGCGCGGTTGCGGACTAGTACTGGCGCCGAATGCTCGAGTCATGTCTCGATGCTCTCGCGTGCTTGCAGATTGTGACTAGCTCACTGCGAGTGCAGGTCTCGGTAATGGCCCAGAATGATCTCGGAATGGCTCGGATGGCTCGATCATATGGCTCAGATAGCTCGTCTCGAGATGGCTCGGAATAATAGGCATGTACAATGGCTCAAATGGCTCGAACGATTTGTCTTCCCAAACTTGCATAATACACCTAATCAACACCAAAAGAGACAAGAATATATGCAAATACGCAAGACGAAAGTGAAAATACATAAAACATGATAAAATGGACCTGTTGACACTAAGGCGAACGTAAAAAGACTCGATTAAGGCACGAAAAACACGACAAAAACATAGCAAACAATGTTAAGATGGAGAAAGTATATTAAAAATAAAATTGTCTTCTCACTTTTTACATTCAAACAAAATACAATAAAATAACCTAATATCAATTGTCACAATTGTAGTTATATATTGTCAAATAAATTCTATGTAATCCAATTTGAGGAGTTTTAACTTTTTTATTTTGATACAAAATATTTTTTTTTTATGCACTTGTGTAATATACGATTATACTAAAAATCTAAATATTATTTGACATGATTTGGTCAAGTGCATGCATGTTATAATGGCGAATTGGCGAGGAATGAATAATTAAGGCCGATATTAAAATATTCAAAAATACAAGTACTTAACTAATGGAACACAAAATAATAATAATAAAGATAAAAAAATAAAAAAAGAGGAGAGGGATGTTAATTGGTGTCGACGGTTGGAGGAGATAGAGTTGTTAGAGGTCGGCCAAAAAGAAAAAATCCTTTATAACAAAAAGCATATATGTTGTTTTCTTTTATTTTTCTCTCTTTGGCTGTTTATTTATTTATTTTTTAATAAATAAATATCAGATTTGTTCCCATGAATACGAAATATAATAATTAATTACAG